CTATTTTTATTTTTCCTTTTCTTTCGCCTTCTTATTCGAAATTATTAGTTCTGTCATCATTGCATTTATTAGCGTTAAAATGACTTCGCATGACCATCACATTTATTTGTAATCATTTTTTGAATTTAAGATTCCGATCGTGATCATTATTGCTTTCTAGAGGGAGACAACGTTGACCTATTCAATGTTTTCGTGATATTTTGCCGTGTTTTGTTTGATTATTGTATGAAATTGAATGAGATCATTGTGATGTCATGAGCTGATTTGGAGTAGGCTTATTGAATGGTTCGAATTAGTGTGTTGCGGGGATCGAGGAATTTCAGGGATGTTGGCTGTCCCGATTCCCCGTCCTCGAATTTTTTCTAGCCAGCAGCATTTTTTGGATCCTTATCTGCAAACCTTTGACCCCAACTTCTTGCACATTCCTAACTTTTCTTATGCCCTCAACATTAATTCGAATCACACTGCAATGCAGTCGAGCAGAGAGCGGTGCTAGGTCGGCCTTTGGCGGAGTGACTGCTGAATTGCATCATCTCTCTGCAAAATGTTTTGCCAAAAGTCATCCATTTTTCGCTTATTAGTAATTTATCAATACGTTGATTTGCGTGTTTCTTGCAGGCTTGAAATTCTTGGATTCTAATGATAATTGGATTCTTGTGATTATTTCGTCCCCACTTCTTGCATTCCCAACTTTTTCGCGTCCTCAGAACACGATAATTCGAATCACAATGCAGTCGAGCAGATACATTTTGCATGGGCAGATTCCACACTCTATGGGGCGGTTGTGGAGGAATCTGCACGCGTAGATTCCACGTTTCGAATGATTGCAATGTTGACATTTTTGAAAGATCATGAAGTCGATTAACAAGGAAACGGCTTTCATCGAAATTTTACTTGACTTTGTTTTTCAGCGATTTTCCACTCGTTATCATGCATTAGTGTGCAGTTCAGTTGTTATTTAACCACCAAATGCTATCAGATGAATGCGATGAATATTAGTGCAATATCGGCTTGCTCTCATCGGAATAGGGCGATAAATTTGATGAATTTGTTTCTTGCTGATTATTATTTTTATTGGTAAAAACGATCGTGAAATATATCACAATTTTTGTTGCGCTCAGTTTTTCGTATCAATCGAGTTTTGGCGACGAATCGTGGTTATTTGACTAACGCTCTTGATCGCAACAATGAATTCAATACGTACAGTGTGGATTCGCTGATTTCAGTGTGAATATCATATCAGNTTGTGTATCAGAAAAACTACCGGGTGCCTTGTCAATTCTGTTTTAATTTGTGGCTGCTTTTGGATGAGTCTCACACTCACTTGATATTGAGTGTCTCAAGAAAACCGATACATATTATCAAGATTGGGTTAAAGTGGTGATGCAAGCGCTAAGTATCAGTCTTTTTGAATGCGCAAATATGATATCAGCCGTTATATAACCATATTGTTATTTTTTATCATTATTGATATTTTTGTTGTCATTGTTTGCTGTTATTATCGTATTTATCATGCTCAATATTATGAGGATTATTTAGATTCGTTCGGCATTCATATGTATTGGAACGGTGCGGTGTGCAGTGATTCGGCCGACGGTAGTTTCAACGGATTATATCACAATCAATGTAAAGGAGTCGATCAACTTTGAGCGACTCTCCTTGCAGATTGCTTTCAAGCACATTTCGAGGGCAATTGTGAGCTTTACTTCAGTGCAATACGAGTTTTGATACTTGTGATGTTAATGATAACAGTGATTATTGCAGTAGCAGATTCTTTAAAATGGTCTTTTTTTATCGGACATCAGTCATTTTAAGGATAGTTATTACTGTTCATTGAGTACTTGGAATTACCGTACAGTATCCAACTATTCTAATATAAACGATATTGATAATAGTAGTTGCAAAGGTACAACGATATTGAGAAAATGTATCGCTGGGGTAGTGAAGAATTTTTCGGAACTTTTCCGTATTTAGAATTGGGGAGAAGTGATTTTTGAGTTTTTCATAAATTAAGCGTTGTGATGATGAAGATGAAGGGAACGTTATTGTATTAGTGTTGGTTGTGTGATTTGTATTGCATTTTAGGTTTCGTTCGAAGGTCATGAGCGTGGCCTAGCGTTGCATGTGAATCGTTATTGTGCAAAACGGATCCGTGATTCACTCTTACTGGAGCACAATTCGAATACAGCCGAGACATGCAACGCGATGTATTTCGATCCTGAAAGTCAACATCGTTGCGAAAAGTTCGATCTTATTCGATCATTTTGATTGATTTGATCCTTCCTTCGGTTTATTGATTCATTAACTTCATATGAATTTACTCATTGGAAGTTGCACAGAGGAAAGGAGTGCAGACGGAGCTTTAGAGAAATATTGACTTGTTTCTGATTATTCGTCCGATTTGTTGTTGGTGGTTGGACGTCGTCATTCGGATTGTTTCACTCTCTTTGAATCTCGAACGATCCATTGAATTTGTGCTTTGTTGTGTGAATTTTGCCACCGATTTTGTGGCGTTTTTCGTTGATTGATGCAAAAATTTCGGTGGTCCTAATTTTTATTGGATTAATCTTTGATATATTTGTGTTGGGATTGATTGGTTTTGGTGAGTAATGTTTTAATATTTCAGATATATCGTAATTGATATAAAGGCATGTGGACGAGAAGATTTGCGGAAACTTGACCTCAGATTAAGCAATGTGCAAAAGCGAAAAGCTGATGGATCGTTAATGCCAAAAAATGCCAATATCCCAAATGAACCCTTTTTGCGTACGGTTTATTTTCTAAAATTTAGTTTTCTCTCGTTGTTTTTGTTAGTGACAACAATGGATAATAATGTCACCAACAGAAAATAGTGATGATCAAAGTAAAAGTAATAGAGCTGATAGTGGATTCAACAGAATTTCATAAGCATTCACGAATTTGACAAGCAGTGGCACGCAATGGGATCTGATTATATGAACTATTTTCAGAGGTGATGAATGCAGAGGATTACGAGAAGCTGTTGAATGATCTGGACGTTCAGCTGATAACATCACAGCATCGTGCATCGCATCATCGTGGCAATCACAATTTATCAATGCGACATCAACCTTCGAATAGCGCCACATCAACTCTACCGCCACCCACCACAACAACGATGCTTTACACATCATCGCATAGCGACAATTCAAATTTTCATACGCCTGGAAATAAGGTGCGGAAGTTGAGCATGTTCTTAGCATGGCTTTTAGCATAAGAAGCAGTCCATTTGATTGCTTAAGATTATGCTGGAGGTCATGATGACGGTTGTGTTTTTGTTTTAAATCAGACGAAGTCTTGGTAATGGAAAGCAAGCTTGCATTGATTGAGAAACTCAGGCATAATCGTAAGTCCAGGAAGACCATGTTGTTGCCTCCTATGGCGTTTTCCTGAAGTCATTTTAAGTGGAGGATTACTGGTGATAAGTTGTGAGAGTTGAAGTTTATAATCGTGATTATTGTTA